TTTACTGGCAAAATTTCTCATCTCAAATTCTATCCAGGCAACTTGTCATCAACTTTAGTATGTTTGTGAAGAAATACAATGTTGTTAAGTAGAAGGCAGAAAAAAATACTATTGATGGAGTGGGTTTGTTATTTGCTTTTAGTGTATTAAATATGTTGATTTCCCTAATACTCAAACTTAAAACCTTTGGGTAAAGTCCATAGTTTTGTTCTTTTTTTTTTTAATTTGGAGAAAGTTGAGTGGAGGTGGAAAAGACTCTATGTAACATATATAAGTGAAGAAATGAAGAGTAACAGGAAGGGAAATAGTCCTTTGGCAAAAACCAAGCAAATAGCTGACTTTTTCTAAATGAGTGCTTCCCCCCAATAGTACCAGTATGCCAAGCAGCAACTTCTGCTGTTTAGTTGCAGAGATTCTCCAAAATTGCATGCATAGACTTTCAAAGCAGTGCATTTTTTTATCCTACCTTTTACTTGGGATACATGGGGTGGTAGCAAATGAAAATGTGTGACATTTTATGACCAGTTTTAAAAATCGATATTATTACATTATGACAGTCTAGTACAAACAAACAAGTTTAAATTTAAACTATGATTTTATTTATAAGGGATAAGACCCTTGTGTTTTCCAGAATTCCATGCTTTCTAAGAGACGAACTGCTATTTTACTTTAATCTATGGAAGAATGAATTATACGTAATGATTGGTTGTCTCCCTCCTTGATACTGTGATACCTATGGTATCGTCAAACTTCTATTATCTTTATTTAACTGTTTTGAAATCATTACGTCAACCTGTTGATTAATGAGATGGACTCTGGCAGACCAGTCACGACAGGACCCCCTGATACACTGTGGTGTGGGAATCTGATGGGACTTTTTAAGATTGATGGATTAATCAGTTATCACCAAAGACTGGGATCCAAAGTACTATATTAAGCACTGCAAAATAGGCCATTTCCTCTTTCCTCTTCTTTACCTCCCCCCTTCTCCTCCTGCCATCTTTTTAGTGAATGACTTAAGCTCTTTTGAAGTTCATATTATTTGGAGAACATATCCAATTAGTCCTCCCCTCTGAGAAATAAAGTTGTTGAATTCAAATCCAGGAGCTATTTCTCCCTACACACCCACAATGTGAAATCAGGTAGAACCAATAGGAAGGGTGGAGTTGGCAATCTCTTCTGTCTTCATTTATGCCTTCACCAAACACTTCACAGGCTGCTAGCTTCAACACCAATAAATATAATGATTGTGAAGCATTTCTGGAGAGATTCCCTTTAGGAGTAGGACCTTGGAGAGCTTTCTGTTTAGTTTTGGATGAAATGGTCTTCATTTCAGTAAAAATATATTTAGCTCTCGACCTTTAAGGAACTCATTATCTATGAACACACAGCCCAAGGACCCAGCAGTGTTTTGTTGGCTTAATTGAACCTTTGCCACTTATGGAGTAGTGTTTCCAAGTGAAAAGAAAATGATCACTTCGCAACATCATTTTGTAGGCAAAGAAAAGGGGCATTACTTTCTGGAATTTCCCTCCCAACTTGCCACTCTGAACTCTGCTTTCTTAATTTACCCTCTTTTCTCACTTGAGTACTTCTTTTTTTGCAGTTTTTTTTTCTTTAAGTTTCTTGCCTCCAGAGAAAGCTGGTATGGTGGTATACTGTTTAAGGTGTTTTAGGATGAATATATCAGAAATTTTTTTTTATTATAAATTGGGTGCAGGTATATGGGCCTCTCCAAATGCATTTGGTCCAACTTCTTCAGGTTTTCTAATGGGCTGGCATCCTTTTTCCCCCTCCCAAGTTAATATGAAATCAGCCTCCATATTTTCTGACCAATAATCACCTACCTAGCTGAATTCATCAAAATCTACATATGCCTCTTCTGCCCGTTCATGAATACAGGGGAAAAGTGTGATGAGAAGTTTCCTAGTTCCTTTAAAAGAAAACCCTAAAATATAATCAAGCTACCTCCATTTCTTTCTCTTCCAAATTGGTGAGGAGACTGTCTCCCTCAATAAGATTAGATATGGCGGCCATGCTACCCTATTAATCAAGCCGTAAGTAGGGAAGAAAAACAGTTTAGTTAGTCTATCCTGGTTTGGATAGTATGGGGGCATGGTATAAAATATCCAAAGAAACATGGTTCCTGTTGGGAGGCTCCAGGTTCATTGGCTATAGAATAGTACTTGGGTGGGCTATTGTTCCTTACAGTTCAGTTAAGATGCTACCTACCTATTCCTTCTCCTGGTGCTCCATATTTTTTGAAATTTCTGTTTGTATAACCTGACCCCATGTGATGTGAAATGAATGGAACTAGAGAAGTCCTTTTTCCTTGTGCGGTGTCATTCACAGTGTGATTCATGAATTAGTGTTGAATATTCCATGTTGTTAAAATAGGGCAGGGCACCAATATATAGTGGGAGAACATCAAAATCAAGACTAGAAGACTCAGTATTGCTCAAACCTTCAAGTGTGGCTGCTGCCTGCTTTACATGGGGGCACAGCTGTCAGCATGCAATTCAATTCAATTCATCAAGCTAGGAAATTGAACTACACTTACCTGAGAGAGACAAGCATGTCTGCTCCCTGCTTGGCTTTACTAATATGATATGTGGTTCTCAGACTCCCAGTCTATTGCCATGTGCATGACAGGCAGAATTTGGCAGCTATGTCTCTCCCTTATCATGCAAAACAAATGCCTGGAGCCAGGAGTGATTTTTGTTGGATTTAATTTGGTAGAAGATGTTGTTTCCTCTTCTGTCCTTTTTAGCTTCTCAAATTTCCTGAGTATGTCCTGCCATAGGTTGAATGACTGATCTGAGGAGAGAACCAAAGGGGTTGGCTCACGTTCCTCCAGTAAGAATGCTATGTTTTGTACCCTGTAACTAGTGAGTCTAGAGTTATCTTGTTCCCATCCCATCCCAAACTTAAAGAAGAAAGTAGGAAAGGGTACAGACAAGAAAGACTTTGTTTATTGTATAATGCACATCATAAATGGCCTTAAACTATGATTCTTTTCGGTATGATGTGTTTTCATTAACTGACCCTAAAGAATGCAGTGACTCTTAAACTGCAGGTACTGTATTCCTAATGAAGTGACACCTGCTGCTTTGTTCTTACCAAGCAAACGGGAGGGATGTGGAGCGGTAGAAGGAAGGAGGAAACTACCTCTTTTGCTTTCTTAGTGTGTTCCCCCTACTATGATCTCCATGGATGAGCAGGGAACATTCCTATGCATAAGGATACCTGGTTTGCTTCAAAACTTGCTTCATGAAACATTCTGTATCCAAGTCCTTCATGTAAAGCTTGATAACTTGGCCAGGAATAACTGGAGAATAAAGAAGGGAAAATAGTAGGAAGAAAATTAGGGCTTCTCACTGCCTGGTATGGAGTGATGACTGATTTTCTCCTCACTTGAACAGGAATCTTGTTCTGGTAACTGGAAATGGGCTAGTGGTTGGAATGATAGGAGAAGCCTAGGATATCACCCCAACCTCTTTCAAGCAACATCCCCATACAATCTTGATGTCCCTCTCTGTATGAAGGCAGTTAACGTAAGGAAGACAGGGGTAAAAGATATGGGTTAAGAATTAGGGAAACAGCTTTTTTGGAACCTGAGGTGTCTAGTGGCCCAGATTTTTCCATTGCCATAGAAGAGAGGACAAAGTGGAATTGCAGGGAGTGGGGTGGAATTGTCCCTCTCTAATCCTATAATGTACATATATACATACCCTTGGAGGGAGGAGGGGGATAGATTGTAAATATGAAACATTTTAAATAAAATTTTGTAACTGATTCCCCTCTACCACTGAAAAATAAAGTATTTTATGCCAGATGATCTAATTTTTTTTAATTGTTGGATGACTGTGAAACTGGGTGCAGTGGGAGGGAACTGTTCATTCAGCTTCAAAAGTGCATGTTAAACCCTGAAGGGAAACTGCCTGGGATAAATAAGAACAATCCATGCAAATCTATTTGTGTTTTTGCCCAATAAAATATTCAGAAAGATGGGTTTTGGCCTCATTCTTTAAAATCCTTTAAGTTTGTGAGTTTAGGAAAGAGGCTTTTTAGTGGGAAGAACAAAGGGTTGATGCAATTATTTGTGCATTTGCATCAAGTAGAGTACAAAGCAGTAGCTGGTTAAATATAGGCTGAATTCCCAGTTGGGGTGTTGGGGACCTCTGTAGGTAGGTCAGTTGACCTGAAATGTATGAAGTCTTTTGTGTTTAGAATATTATTCTATGCTTTTTTTTTTTTAAAGAAAATTGCAGAATTCTAACTCAACGTTTGCAATTTTTCAGTCAGGCAAGCAATTGCTGAGTGGGCATCTTTCTGGCAACCTTCTGACTGATTCTTAAGCATCTCACCGAACTTGGATTTCTACAAGTTCTACAGTGGGATGCAAGTCGAATTTGTTCTCAGATTGTATTCCATCATTTTATTGGCTAGACAACACGACCTAACCGAGGTTCCTCTTAGGAAAGGATTTGACTCCTCCCTTCCACGGCAGCTTGCCATTCCTCCCTCTGAGGGTGCTAATTTTTTTTTTTCTCCCTTCCGAGCTTCACTGTCTTCCATCATAAAACTCCAAAACTTTTAAAGGAAAAGGAAAGGGGATGATCTTCTCTAGTGAACGAAATAACTTGATTTATTCAGTTCTTGGGCATTTTGACCACCTTCCTGTCAAGTCCACGTGGGGCAGTGATGGTGTGAAATTTTTAGGAGCAGCACCAAATCTTGAAAAAGTTATTTCAGTGGTGCAAGAAAGCAAGTCCCCATTCCCTTGAGCAAAACCACCGTCTGCGTTTCAAGTAATAGTCCGACAAACTTTGCGTCACTAGGATCTGATTCCCACTGAAATCCCCCGGAACGGCCAGACCCCTTTGAAACGCTTGTAAGATTTTGCCTTTTTCTCGCAGAACTTAACGCCTGCCACACCTCCTTGGTCTCTAGCCCTGGAGAAAACTGAGTCCGCTTAGTAGTGGGTAAGACAGCCCGGAGACAGTCACTCCCAGGGGCGGGAAGATTGTCGGAAAGGATCAAGCAACTAGCGGGAGCTGGAGACTCCCGCTGGGTCGGGCTACTTCTTCCCTCCTGTTTGCAGGGGATAGCGCTGCCGACAGCAGCCGGAGCCAGAAGAGCCAGGGAACCCGATAAACCCGAGAGCTTATTTGCAGGGGGCTAGAGAGATCAAAGAAGAGAGACTCACGCTAAGAAGGGATATAGTCACAGAGAAGCCTGGCCAGCTCGGGTCCAGATAAGGCACATTCGCACACACGTGCCCGACCTAGATGGTTACACTTGCATGCACATTCGGGTAGGCTCCCATACCGCTGGGCAGAACTCCGTAAGGCCCTGATTGTTACGTGTGTGTGTGTGTGTGTGTGTGTGTGTGTGGGTACGCGCGTGTCTGGGTGTGCATGGGTGCGTGCAGGAGTGTGTAACATGCACACACTCTTCTTCCTCCCTGACTCCCTCTGAAGTCTCCTCCCTTCCCTCACCGCCCTCCCGCGCCCCCCAGAGAAGGCTGAAGGAAGAGTGATTCTCTCCCGCCCGCCCTCCTTCGCCAGCACTGGTCCAATCTGTCCCCCCCTCCCCCCGAAACGACGGAGGGGAGTGGAAAGCGGTGGAAGAGGAAGGGGGGCAGACTCGAGTGAGCGGAGCAAGAAGCAGTGAGGCGCCGGAGAGAGCAAAGGAGACGATGCCTCGGCTCCTCGGGAAAGCTGGGCTCCTTCTCGGCTTTGTCCTGCTCACGCTGCTGCTCCCCGCCGGGAGGGGGCTGCCCCTGAGAAAGCTCCGAGGACCCGAATCCGGCCCCCCGGGGCCCCGGGACAGGAGCCACTCCAAGCCAGCAGAGGTGAGAGAGGTGGCGTGGCCTCAGCCACCCCTCCTAGGGCGGGGGCCAGGTGGGGTAACTCGAGAGCGCGCTCTGCCCGCCCACTCGCCCGCGGCTCGTGCGCGGTAGCCTCTGCTCAGTTCTGGGCCAGGTGCCTGGGGCCGTGCCCACCAGCCAGTGAACTGGGAGGGCAAGAAGCTCTCCCCAGCATCGGCAAGGGTAAGGGAGCAGGGGGGCCCGGGGATACGGACTGGCTGCAGGTAGCAGGTGGCCAGGGAAGAACAGTGATTGCCCCTTTTCCCACTCCAAAAAAAAAAAAAAAAAGACTAGGTGGGATGGAGAGCTGCATCGGGCAGCTGGGATTCTGGCCCTCTGGGTTCCTTTTTGACTCCACCACTCCCTGTAAAAAGGATAGTTTTCTCAAGGTGCTATGTTATCCTTACTGCCCAGTGTCCCCGTGCACAGTGTGCTCCAGCCGGGGTAGCCCCAAACACAGGTTCGATCAAGCCGAGGGTTTTTAGCGACAGCTAAATAAAACTTACGTTTTATTTCAGTACAGAAACCAGGTATTCGTGCCATGTGAATCATTCCCCTCAGAGGTGGAGTTGTTTCTGGGGGGAAAAAAATTGTTTTTACTGTTTGGAGTAAAGACAAAGATAAGTGCAAAAAAAAAATAATGCCAAATGAATACAGACCTACTGAAATGGAGCACATGCTACTTTTTCTGTGTACATGTATCCTCCTTAAGTTCTTTTGGGCCTACACAGCGCTTTGCTCACAACAGATTTCTTAACAGATACTTATTAAACTGAAATGAATTGAATTAAAGAGGGCATTTGCTCTCTCTCTTTTCCTGATGGGACTGAATTTGCTAACACTGAATCTTTAGCCCGTAGCCGCCTTCCTAGGAAGTCTCTGGAAGCTTGCATTTTCCAGCAAGTAATAAGCTGTTTCGTGATGGAAAAATGGATTGTGTTCCTTAGGCAATTGCAAGTGTCCTAGGGTAGGAATTGAATTAAGGGAAAGGAAAAGAGCCAAATAGAATTCTCCAGTTCAGAGGGGAAAAAATCTACCACTTGGTTCAGGAACCTCAGAGATTATCTAGTCCAACCCTATAATTTTACTGATGAGAAAACAGGCCCAGGGAGGTTAAGGTCACACAGGTAGGAAGTGTCAGAGGCAGAAATCAAGCCCCAGGTCCTCTAAAGCCTCAACTAATACACCCTTTCTGTTGTACCAAGCTGAGACACATCTCATCAAGAAAACTGGTGTACTTGGAGAAGGAAAGAAAGGACTGAGAGGTGGGGCTGCTGGTGTGTGGGGGCAGGACAATTAAACAACAAAATTGGAATGGACTATCTTGAGAAGTTGTGAGTTTCACACCACCATCCTGCCAGGTGGAGTCTAGATGATCATTTATATAGATGCGATTCATGGTCGTTTCAGTTATGAGTTGTACCTCAGATACACGAGATCCCTTCCAGTTTTCAGTTTCTATGAAGTCTTCCTGTGACCTCTTTATCTCTGTCTCTGTCTCTTTCTATCTCTGTCTCTCTGTCCAGAATGGGGTGGAGTTCAGATCTGGGAACATCTGGACTCTTGGAAGTTCTGTCAAGTAGCCTGGCATTATGGAAATTTGACTAGCCTGCCCTAAAGAAATTATCTGATCTATATATAGGGAAAATTCTTCCCTTCCCTATTATAAACTAGGTATGGGAGAGGTGGGGGAGGAAGCTGTGACACACAGAGGCCAGAGGAAGCACGGAGTTGAGCTAACAATCATGGAGAAGAAGGGAGGAGGTGTTTGAAACAAAACATTTATTGGCAGGCCCAGGCAGCTAGGAGGCAAAGTGGATAGAGTGCTGACCGTGCAGTCAGGAAGACTTATCTTCCTGAGTTCAAATCTGGCCTCAGACTTAATAGCTGTGTGACCTTGGGCAAGTCATCCCTGTTTGCTTCAATTTCCTTATTTGTAAAATAAGCTGGAGAAGGAAATGGCAAATCACTTCAGTATCTCTGCCAAGAAAACCCCAAATGGGGTCACAGAAGAGGACATCAGAAAACGACTGAATAATACGCCAAACAGCTTACTAAGCACTTTGGAAACACCTTATTTAATCCTCACAACAACCTTGTGAGGTAGGTGCTATATGACAGCCAAGTGTAGCATATAGAAAGAACCTGGGATTGAAAGTCAGGAGATTGAGGGTTTGGGCCCACTTTGACACTGACTTGAAGGGTGACTTCAGATTTCCTCATCTGGGAAAGAAGAAAACAGATTCTTCCCATTTTACAGATTGGGACAGAGAGAGACACAGAGAAAGTGAATGAGAGCTTAAACCCAGATGGCCTTTCTGTTGCTCAACCAGGTTCTCTGTGAACCCACTGAAGAAGACTACCCATTTTAATATCTAGGCATGGAAGAAAGGAACTCTCATTTCATATCACCACCATCATCATTTTAATAATACTAGTAGTTAACATTGATATTATTTAAGGTTTTTGAAGTATATTATCTCATTTGGACCTCATACAAACTCTGTGAGGTAGTACTATGGTGGGGGCACATTAAGCATCCTAATGGTTAAATCCAAAAGAACGTATATGCCTAATTTTTTGTTTCTGTTTTTTTCATGAGCCAGATCTCCTGTCTGAGAGATGGCACTGGTAGTAAAATGAACTCATTAGCATTAATTTCTACTCACTTGGCATAAATTGATCTTCTGTCCCTCCTTCTCCTGGCACCTACCCTAGGATTTAAGGGCCCTTAGGGTACCAATGAATACTGATGTAGTGAAAGATATGAGTATCCTGTAAATGCTTATGGAGTGCTTACTGATGACTTAATTAGTAAATGTTTTAGAGTACCTACTACATGCTTATCGTTGTACTGGGCACTGTGAGAGATATGGAACTGTTCATCTCTACCCTAAAGGAGCTTAGCATCCCCTTTGGAGAGAAGAAGCACAAATATATTCTTCTCTCTCTCTCTCTCTCTCTGTCTCTCTCTGTCTCTTTGTGTGTGTCTCTCTCTCTGTATCTGACTGTCTCTGTCTCTCTGACTCTATCTCTGTCTCTGTCTGTCTCTCTGTCTCTCTGTCTCTCTCTCTCTCTCTGTCTCTCTCTCTCTCTCTCTCTCACCTTTCATAGTCAAGCAGATGCTAAATCCCATCAACACCTCGCCAGCATCTCTCATGTCCATAATCCCTCCTCTCAACTCCAATTGCTGCAACTGCCCTACTACAGACCATCATCATAGACACACAGTAAGTGCTTGATAAATGTTCATTAGCCTGGAATGACTTAATAGTCTCTGAATAATTTTGCCTCTTTCCTCTCTTCCTTCTACAGTCTGTCTTTCATACAGTGGTCAGAATAGTTTTTCTTATGCAGAGGTCTGGTCATATGGTCTGAAGTAGCTAGATGGTACAATGGATAGAGCACAGAGCTTGGAATCAGGAAGACCTGATTTCAAATCCAGCCTCAAATATGCCTTAGCTGTGTGACCATGGGCATAGATTAATCTCTATTAATTTCAGTTACATTAATTACAGTTTCCTCATCTGTAAAATGGGGATAATAAGAGCTCCCAGGGTGGTTAGGAGGATCAAATGAGGTAATATTTATGAAGTGCTTAGAATAGTACCTGGCACTATATAAATGCTATTATGATTTGTATGCCATTCCCCTGCTCAGAAATCTTCATTGGTTCCTAGGTAACAACCAAATAAAGCTCAAACTCCTCTGGCTGACATTTAAGGCCCTCCACTACCTGGCACTATCCTTCCTTTCCAGTATTATCTCACATTACAGTTATCCCTTCCACATCACTGGGGGTAGGGGTGCCATGCCCCTGCAATCTGTAAAATCTGCATACAATTTTTTGGCCCTCCCTTCATACCAAAGAAGTCTGCTGAATTATTATGGCATTAAAAGATAAAATATATTGATATTATACAATACCATATACATATATTTTATGCATTTCTGAGTTTCTAACCATTTTCTGTGTCATCTACTGGCCTTGGTGTGTTGTTTGTGGCATCCACGAAATTCCTGAAACATTTCCATTCGATTTCTTATGCCGACCCGTAATGTATCGAAACCTCACTGGGGAAAGTTGAGATGTGGAAGGGATAGCTGTGCTTGCTTTTGTGTAATTTACCCTCCAGCCAAATTGCACTACTCAGTCTCCCAAACATGCCCTGTGCTCCCATGTTTCCCCACCTTTAATAACACCCAACTCATTTGCCAACTCTTCCACAAAGCCTTCCCCGATTCCTTTGTGAACAACTCCCAGTCAGTAACAATTAAATCAAATAAACCAAGTAACAAGAATATCCCTGTGCACAAGGAGGAGGAACTCTCTCACAGTTTCTATGCTAGTATATATGCAGGAAATAAATATGACCAGACTCGCAGAGCACTGTGTATGACACATTGTAGGCTCTTAGAAAATGTGTGTTTATTGATCGATAGAATGGCACATGCATAAAGAACCTTTGTGACCAGAGGATATGCATAGCCAGGGCATTGCCTCTGACACCTCAGGGTCTTAATGTTCACTGGTGAGGTCACTGGATACCAATTCTTGCTTTGGGATGGGAACATCCTCTGTGGTTCCATTCTTTCTGCCACACTGCTCTCTGCTGGATATCTCTGCTGAGCTGCTCTCATCTTCTGGGCTTTGGCTTCTGTGCAGGCTTTTCTGTTCCTCCCCTCCCATCCCCTCTATTCCATTGACATTTGCTGGATTATATCTGCTATTCAGCCTCTCCTCCATGAGTGTGTCTGAAGGGGAGGAGCAGGCAGATTTTCTTACTGCACAAATCATCTCAGGAACAAAACTAAAGTTGCCCAGATGAAGGTGGTGGAGCTGGCAACTTTTGTCCCATTTTCTACCAGCAGCTAAAACCTTTGTTTTAGACAAAAAAAAGATACATTTCCTGTCCTCAAGGAGTTTAAAGGCTAATAGAGGAGAGACAATATGCAAATGAGCTTGATAGAAGGAAGGATATAAT